GTCAACGCTGCCCCATGGAGTCTTTGTCGAGTTAGGGTTGCTTTGACAGCAACAAGGAATGTAAGTTCACCTCCCTCCCCTTGTCTTGTCCTGCTTCTCTCTCAGCCTTCCCCAGTTCTCCGTGTGCAGGGGCCCCTGCCCTCTCGTTGACCACGATTACGGAAAGTTTGACTGTGAGAAATGTATGCGCAGCAAAACGTTGGCCATGTCAGCACCCCCCACAGCCGTCAGTGGCAGCGCGCTCACATGGTGCGACCACAACCCATGCAGTTTAGGCTTCACGTCTCTTCTTTTGTACTTGGGTAGGGTGACCAGATTCTAACATTGGTAAAGCGGGACACCAGTGGGACACCGTTGATAAAACTCATATCCTGGCGAAATAGCCACATGGCAGCCGAAAACCATATACCTTAGCTTGTCGTGCATTCTTTCCCCAAATTGGGACTTCTTAAAAATGCTGCGGGACGCGGGACACATTGTTAAAAATCAGGACTGTCCCACCAAAAGCGGGACATCTGGTCACCTTATACTTGGAGGTCAAGGACAACTCCAGCAGGGGTTACTCTTCCAAGTCCACCGACCCGAAGTTCCCCAACCCACCACCTGTCTTCTAATTGCTCCCTTAGCAAGGAGAATTAACAATACAGGCACCTGGATCCACCACTCGCCAGCGAGTAACCATGGGCATGTCCCTTCCCTGCCAGGACCTTATCTTTCGGGGGAGCGGCAGTGGTCACACCCACATTTTGGTGGGGCTTGAAGTTTAGTCATTACCAAGAAGACTCACCACTGCCTTACACACAGGAGAGTGATCCAGCAGCCTGGGGGTTATGGCAAGAGCAGAGAATTCCAGGTTCAAACCCCTGGGTTCTAGTGCCAGCTTTGTGCCTGTCTGGCTACGGGACTTGAAGCCAATTGTTAGCCTCTTGCACCCCAGCGTCCTCCTCAGTGACAAGGGGACAGCAATGTCGATCTCCTGACGGAGGGGGGATAAAGGGCGATCGTGGTAAGGCACCAGTGAAAAGTGTGGGTGAAAGGGACTCCTTCCGCCGAAAGGCCTGTCTGTGCCTACAGTGTTGTCACCTGTCACAGTGTGGGCGCCCCAGGAAGCAGATTCTGAGCGCTGCCCAAGTGGTCAGGAACCGTCTAAGAAGCGTTTTTTAGAGAAGGGTTGGCACTGAAGCAGGCTTGGGCAGAGGGAGAAGATGAGCTGCCAGGCAGGCCCCAAAGCCCGGCCACTCCTGAGAGAAGCTCTGGGGTGAAAATGCCCTATCAGAGTTGTCTTTCAATAGGTGGGAAGGGCTGGGCCTTCATACTCCATCAGTGCTGGGTAAGGGCCACCTTGGAAGAGCAAGACTGCGGGCTAGGGGGCTCTCTGAAGCAGCTGGCAGGCCTCCAGGACTCTGGGGTAGCATGTTGTTCCTGAAAGGAGAATCAGGCAGCCCCACCTCTGTACCAGTGGTCATGGTGTGCTCACACCTAAAGGCCAGTCTGTGCTGATTAGAGGATGGGAAGGAAGGGCTCCTGCTGCTCCAGGTCTGTTTGGCAGCTTTCCTCACGAGTTCTAGATGCATCACTTTAGGCGTGCATCTCTGGGTAAAGAATGGGCAGGGTTAGCTGTGGGGCCCAGAGCACGGCCCAGCTGACCTTGATCGGGAGTGAAGTAGACTTCATGGTAGCTGGCTATGGATGGGACATGAATCCAACCCGAGGCAGTTACACCAGTGGATTGGATTATTTACAAAAATGCTACGTGGGCATAAGGAGCTCTGGTGGCACAGGGGGTTAAGTGCTGGGCCGCTGACTGAAAGGGTGGGGGTCCAAACACATTTCCTGCCCCGTGGGGGAAAGAGGAGATCGACAGTCTGCTTCAGGAGGCGCAGCTGACTGTATCCTGGAGGGCCGCTGTGAGTCGGACTGGACTTGGCGGCAGTGGGCTAGGATTTGCTCTGGTGCTTGCATTTGCATGCGGCCATGTATGTAGGTCTGAAGATGTGCCTATGTTGGCGTGACGAACGTATATGGAGGATGGTTTGGACTGAGGGAGGCTACACGGGCAGGTGTGTAGTGTGGACAACAGCAAAAAACAAGCTGCCACCAAGTCGATGCTGATGGTGTGAGTTTCTGAGACTAATGATTTCTGGGAGTAGGAGGCCCCATGCTTTCCCTGAAGAGCAGCTGCTGGTTTCGAACTGCTGACCTTTTAGTTGCAGTCCAATGGGTAACCACTGTGCCACCAAAGGTCCCTCTGATGAAATCAGGGGGCATGATGATGGGAATGCCATTTGGGGGGCGATGTCCTCCTACACATTCTTCAAATACTTACACATCACTTGTGCAGGTACTGTGCTCACATCGAGGATAAGGCCCCACTGCCAAAGGCTTATTGCCTTATGGGGAGACAAAAACCCGAGTGCATGCAATGTGGGGTACAGTGTGGGAAGGTTCCTGACAGAGGTGAGCACAGGTGGCTATGGGAGCACGGGAGGCACCCAGACCAGATCTGGGGAGCAGGAGTCCTTGTGGTTCTTTCCCAGGGTAGGAGACCCCGTCTTAACGCTTGCAGGGCAAATGAGAGTCACTCCGAGATACCGGGCAGCATGACCTGAATGTTCCCCGCAGAGAGAAATGCCGACAAGTACACGGGAAAGGCAGGTCCCAGGACAGGCACTGACATGAGCTGAGGGGGAGACCACACAGGATGCAGACCCCCAAAGCCAGATGCTTTCAGTGAAGGCTGCAAACTTTCCTATGCAGGGGTGTGTGATCTCTCTCCTCAAATGCAGGGTGGCTTTTCCATGATTCCATTTTCGAGGGTCACCCTGGCAGCAGAGAGGGGGCGGATGGGCTGCTGGGCAAAGCTGCGTTCCTGTGCGTGTTAATGAGGATGCACACATACACAGCCGCACACCTGGGAGTCTGTGCATCAGGCGTGTGGCCCACGTGGGCGTGTTCTCCACTTCCACCCTCTGCCCTTGGCAGCCCTGGGGGCTCAGGGGACTACTGTTCTATGGCTGACTCAAAGCTGAGGGGCATTGTGAGCGAGCCGGTCAGAAGCCAGACAGCAGGTGTTTCCTCCAGCAACTCAGGCGCATCCCTGCTTGCCAGGCTGACAGTGGGGTGGCGTCACCCCCTCCAGCCAGTGCTTCCTGGACTGCATGCCCTGTCTGTGCAGAGGTGCGCAGCTGGGCTAGGGCAGCCAATGCCTCTCTCAGCTACATGCATCAGGGCCAGGGGGGACAGAATGGCGACAGGGTCTGGGGCTGTCCTGCCCAGTTCTCCCTGTCTGTGCACCCCTCTCACTGGACACCCATTCTCCAGGCACTGAATGGACACATTTTTATATTATCTAAAATATACTATAACTGTGATAGTCTTCCTCTTGACAATGTATGACCGAAATAAAAATTTTCCAATTTTTTGTCTAGCTCATAATGTAGAAACAAGGAGCCCTGGTGGTGGTGTGGGCTATAGGTTATCCTGATAATCATGAGGTCAGCAGTTCAAAACCACCAGCCACTCTGCAGGGGCTTTCTACTCCATAAAGAGTTATAACCTCAGAAACCCACATGAGAGTTCTACCCTGTCCTAGAGTCACTGAGTCAGAAGTGAGGTGATGGCAGTGAGGTTGTTTGTTTGTTTGTTTATCATGTAGAGCACAAGGAAGGGCAGAGGCTGGTATTGTAATCTGAGCATAAGGTCTAAAAACAGTGTGGTGATTGGTTAGGAGCTTGAATTTAGAGTCAGATGCTTGAGTCCAAATCCCAACTCTACATTTACACTTCAGGGAAGTTACTCGAACTTCCTGAGCCTCACATTCTCCATCTTGAAAGACAGAACCGCTACCATCTCATAGCACCGTTCGCAGAATTACACGAGTCACGTGTCTGCTGTGTGGCAATGTAAACTTCAGATAATCGTATCTCCTGTCGGGATGTCGCTAATTCACTTGAGGAGAAGCTGTGACCTCTTTGGACCTCTAGAGGAATCAGTTAGCTACAAAACCAAAAGGTTGACTGCTCTTTTCCCACCAAGAGCACTTGTCCTCTTTCAACATGTTCTTTTTTATGTGACAAAGACCTCTGGTGCTAAGAGTTTCCCTGTCTTACTGACTAATCACCTACGTAGACTCACCACCGTTTCACCCAGATGCTCCTTCCTGCCTTAGGAGCCCCGACTCCTGAATGAAAGGAGGTCATTCTGGAGAGAACCCCTTTCCACTCTGGTTTCAGAAACTGGCACCTCCACAGAAAGAGGCCGGTGCCTTCAGGTGTTTACAGGCGACAGAACAGCCAACCAAGTTGATCGTGAATTAGAACTAGAAGATGCTTCACCTTGGTTGTTGGGATGTCCTGGGCCTCTGCCTCTCACTCTGCCTGGGCCTATCACTTTACGTAGATGAAATCCTCGCCTGCTGAGGTGACTCTGACCCACAGCAATCCTACAGGGGGAGCAGAACTGCTCCACAGGGTTTCTAAGGCTGAAAACCTTCGTGGAAACAGACTGCCCAGTCTTTCTTCTGAGGAGTGGCTGGTAGGTTCAAACCCCTAACTTCTTGGTTAGCAGTTCAGTGCTAAACCCGTTGTGTGAGCAAGGCTTTAAAAAGATATATATTTATATATATATTGAGAGATCAGCTCTTTACATTGTCCTGATAATATTTTAAAGCAGTTGTTGTTATTTCATTGAATACATGATGAAACTGAGGCTCACAGAAGTGACTCGTCCAAGTTCAAGTAGCTATTCAATGACAACATTGCTTAGAATCTCTTATGTATCTTATAGCATATTAATTCTTACCTACCTCTGAAGTAGCAAGAGACTTGTTCAAGGTTAAAGAGCTAAGACTTGGGTGAGTAGGAGCTGAATACAGTGCCTTTCCTAAGAACTGCTGCCAGCAAACCAGCATCGAGGTGTGACCCCGCCCCATTTGGTACTCAGCAGAGCCTGATGAAAAGGCGCTAGTGGCCCGCGGCTTTGTCGGATGGACGGAGACCTACCCTGGATGTCATCATTGAACATGCAGTACTCGTGGCGGTATTTGTTGAGCAGGCGGAAGGCGTTGGCATTGGCAAAGTCTTCAAACTGGATGAGGCAATTTATTCCAAACCTGTGGGGAGGGAGAGGAAAAAACCTGTGATTGCCTACCTTAGCCAGATCCTTCAAGATCTCACCCAGCTTGTGCCTGGGAGAGGGGGAGGAGTGAGGGAAATGGGTAGACTAGGGGTCAAGGAGCAGGTTTCCAGTACCGAGTATTTACACCTGGCTGGCTCATGGACTCGTGAGCATGGAGCGCTGTCTACCACATCATGGGAGAAGAGTGGGGAAAGAAGGGGGTGGGAAGTCTGGGCTTGGTGGTCGGTGGAGCCCAGATTTCTACTGTGGGCTGATGGTTCCCTTGCGCTGTAGATGGCAGGCCCGGGGCCTGAGATGGAACTTGTCCTCTCGGTGGCCTATACCATCTGAAATCCCAGAGGATAGCTCACGCCAAATCCAAGTGCACATAGATAGCCCCACTTCCTGAGGCCAGAGGCCAGGGGAGCCTCTATAAACTCTAACTATCTCCCTTGTTTGACCTGCAGGCTGGGGGCTCCTCCACTAGGAATGCCCCCAGCATGAGCGCTGTTCCCTGGTAAGATTCAAATAAAGCTGGCAACGGCCACTGCACCGAACCACGGTCACCTCCCAACACCACCCCTCGGAGAAGCAGGTGCTCTCAAACTTGTGGACATAGAATCAATTCGTGAGTGTGTTTAAAATGCAGATCTCCAGGCCTATTGCCCAGCAATTCTCACTCCCTGAGTTTGGAGTGGGGCTCAGGACTCTGCATTTTATTTATTTATGATCATTTCATTGAGGGCTCTTACAACTCTTATTACAATCCATTCATCAATTATATCAGGCATATCTGTACATATGTTGCCATCACTCTTTTCTAGACAATTATTTTCTATTGAGCCCTTGGTATCAGCTCCTCTTTTCCCCCCTCCCTCCACTTCCCACCCTTGTGACCCCTTGATAGATTATACATTATTACTATTTTCATATCTTACACCCACTGCTGTCTCCCTTCCCCCATGGTTTCTGTTGCTCTTCTTCCTGGAGGGGTGTGTGTGTTTGTGTGTCAATCATTATGATCGGTTCCCCCTTCCTCCCCTCCTCCCCACCCACCCTCTCCCTACCCTTCTGGTAACGCTATTCCCACTCCTGCTCCTGGGTTGCATGTGTTGTGAGCCCTTTCTCTTATCTATACATGGGTACATGCTTCAGTCTAGTCTGAAGTGAGAGGCATCAATAGGGTCATGGTATTGGGGGGGGAGGGGTAAGGAAGCCTCAAGGAACCAGAGGAATATTGTGTGTTTCATCGGTGCCCTGGTTGACTCATCTCTTCCCTGTGACCCCTCTGGGGGTGGGGTGGGGGATAAGAAATCTGCATTTTTAACAAGCACCCCAGATGGTTCTGATTCTGATGGTCTAGTGACCTGAAGACAGTGCTCATTAAGACGGTTGGTGTGCCTTTTAAAAAAGCTATGCTCGAAATGCCTTTTCTGTTCAAGGTCAAGAAAAGGTGGTATTTCCTGAAAAATGTCATTATAATTCAGTAGAGTTTTAGAATTTATTTGATTTTATATTTTCTCTGGCTGCTCAGAAGCCGAGAGCAAAAATTTCCCTTTAGTTGTAACAACTTCCCTCTCCTTAGGCTTTCTAGGCGCAGCATTCTCCTTTGCTCCGCGCTCATTTTTTCTGATCCTAGTTTCAGTCCTTTTGTTGCAATATGCTTCCTCTTGTCAAAATAGTTCTGAAAGCAAAAATGGTACAAATCCTTAAAAACATTACTTAGCACACAGATAGAAAGCAATTGGGTTACTTTCCAATTGCTGACTGTAACGGAGTGACAGTCATTTGTGAGGCTGGCACGGGCTGAGCCGTGTTTTGTTCTGTTTACATAGAGTGACTATGAGCGGGAATTGATACACTGGCACCTCACAACAACAACAATTATAACTGGGGAGTCTTTGGCGGTACAGACAGTTAATGTACTGTACTAGGCTGGTTGGCTAGAGAAACAAATCTAGTCACACTCATATATGTGTAAGAAAGAGCTTTCAAGAAGTAATTATATATCAAGAAAACATCCCAGCTCAGTCCAACTCAAATCCATAAGTCTGATACTACTCCATAAATCCTTCTTCAGCCTCACACAGCTACAAGCAATGATGCAGAATGCAGGAAGAACCCAGGTTGGTGGGTGCAAAGTCATGTGGATGCATCACAGAATCAAGGTCAGCCAGCAGAAAGGTGAAGGCAGAGAGAGAAAGGGAGGTTCCCAGGGCCCTCCTTATGAGAAGGCCACACTCACAAGGAGCCACCATCAGACTGTGACCTGATTGACAAGCTGACTACCATCTCTACACTGTTATACATCTTCAAGTTGACACGAAATTATGTAACTGCCACACACACACACACACACACACACTTGGCTGCTAACTAAAAACGCTGGATGTTTGTGTCCACCTCAAGGCCCCTCAGAAGAAAGGTGTGGCTTACAAAACAGCCACTGCAAACCCAATGGACACATTTCAAACACAGGGGCCTCCAAGTGTTGGAATTGGCTCAAAGACAACTGGTTTCACAGAACCGGAGGTCATATCCATTGCATAAAAGTGTCCCGATTGACTGGCCATGCGTCAAGGCCTGTAGGCATTGGAATCTTTTGAGAAATAAACATGATATGAATTAGAAAAAATGACAACACCTGGACAAAGAAATAGGCTTTGTCTCACGATTCATTTGTGACTGAGTAATAGTATTTGAGGTCAGGTTCACGGAGACAATGTGTCCTGACTGATCAGTAATGAGTGTCGTGGGCCCAGGGCAGAAAGAAAGAAGCGGCCTGACTGCTTATAACTGAATTTCTCACCTGGTGAACTGGAGTCCTGGGACCAGTTTTGGGAAGTAGTAGTACCTTGCTCTTAAAGAGGGGTGTGGCATACAGTTGGTGGACTTCCTATGTTCTTGGCAAAATAAATCTGGTGAATCCAAGTGGGAGAAATGTCCCACAAAACACTTATTTTCTAGTCTCATAATTATGTGCATGATTTACCATAACTGTGTTAGTCCGGGTTGACTAGAGAAAAAAATCCAGGACACTCATATATATATGTAAGAGAGAGCTTCATGTAAAGAGTAATTGTATATTAAGAAAACATCCCAGCCCAGTCCAGATCAAGTCCATAAGTCTGATATTAGCCCATATGTCTAATATAAGTCTATAGATTCCTCTTCAGACTCATTCAACACATGTAATGACACTGAACACAGAAAGATCACAGCCCAATGGAGGGAAAGTCTTGTGGATCCTGTGGTGGTGGAAGCATCTCAGTGCTGGCAGGGGTCTCCACATGGCTCCTCCAGGTCCAGGGCTCCATCAGTGTGTCTCCATGTGACTAGTCAATAGGAATGTCTCGCAGGGAGAAGAAGCAGAGAGTGAGTGTATCTGGCCTGCAGTGAGCTATTTATCTCTGTCGCACCTCCAAGGGAGGTCATCAAGCTGAGACCTGATTGCCAGGCTAGCATCCACCTCTTCCTGAGGTTGACAGTCGATTATGTAGCTACCACACATAACCTAGCAGGAATACCAGTGGGCAGGCTGGTAACACTTTATATAATTCCCACATGTCTCCCAGTGCTGCTCTACAATTGGCCTGGGCTATGTTAGCCCTTCTGCGTGCTGGTGAGGACACTTGGAGGGGACAGCTGCAGCTTGTGATACAGAAACCGAGGGGTAATGATTTACCAGGGCAGGGCCAAGCGTGCTGGGCTTGGGTCAAGGGTTCGTGGATCTGAATTGGCTCTGCCTTATAACTGGGTGACCTTGCACATGTCACTTCATGGCTCCATTCTGTCTCAGTTTCCCATCTGTCAGCAGGCACATTAATAACTACCTGTCTAACTTCCTTGGGCTGTTTTGAGAGTTAAAAGCTGAGGGTGATTTTTAAACTGTAAAGGGCTAAACATCCTGGCCACAGTTCTTATTCATGGCCATAGTGTAAGGGCTGACGAGGATGGGGACTCAGTAAGTCTCCTCCCCCTCCCTCTGGACCTCTTCTCCTTGTATGTGCCTTGTGTTGTTGGGTGCCAGTTGAGTCAGTTCCTACTCATAGCAACTTGTAGTATGTATAACAGACTATCACACTTGGGCCATTTTCACAATTGTTGCTATGTTTGAGCCCATTTTTTCAGCCACTGAATCAACTCATCTCATTAAGAGCCTTCAACCTTTTCACTAAATGGCTACTTTACTAAATATGATGTCCTTCTCCAGCGACTGGTCCCTCCTGATGGCCTGTCCAAAGGACATGAGATGAAGTCTTACCGTCTTTGCTTCTAAGGAACATGCCAGCTATACTTCTTTCAAGACAGAGTTATTTGTTCATCTGGAAACTTTTGTTTCCCTTTTTTGGCCAGTGCTCTCAGAGCAGCTTGGACCTCTTCCTTCAATACCATCCATTCTCAATCACGTGCTGCCTCCTGAAATGGTTGATGGTTGAATTTGGTATAATGACTTTTTGTATTCCATCTTCTTTTGATGGGTCCTGCATCATTCAGTATTTTATCCATAGACTCCTTCAGTTTTGAAGCTTGAGGCTTGAAGTTTTCTTACCATCTTTCAGTTTGAGAAGTGCCAAGTGTGCGCTTCCCTTCTGGTTTTCTAACACTAGGTCTTTGTACATTTCATGATCATACCATGGTGGAGTAAAAAATTGTTTCCCCCAGTTTACACACACACACAGGTTTGTTCTAAATGACATATGTTTAAACACGTGTCTCTGGTCAGTGGATGGCTGTAGACGCTTTCAGTAATACTTGTTTTAGTTCCATGAAGTAACACATTAACAGGAATGTGGCCTCCCCAAAGAAATGTTCAGATAGATCACACATTTAAAACACTTGTAATTGTGAACTTGGTGGAGGTTTGAACACTAAGAGGGGAGTGTGCCTGGTACTGTGCTCCTAATAGGTCACATTGGTCCAAGTTTCTGTCCACTCCCTGGTGACCTAGGCCGTGTGCCGTAGAATACAGGGACATCGCACCCAGGTTCTTCA